ACACACACGGATACAACACAATACAAACATATTTATACAATTTTTGTTTAATAAACAAAATAAAAATACTCAAGTTTTTTTCTAAATTATATATATGTTTTAAATATGATCTTATTTTACGACATTTACACACAATTTTTTACTTTTTTAAAGAAAACGACATTGATTCTGTTTTTGCTAAGTAATTGCTCAACAATGATTATTCAATATATTGTTTACAAGCTTTATTAAGTTTCAAAATGTTCGTTGTCAAAATGAAACTTATCGTATGTTAAGTATAGCAAAAAGATAAAAAAATGCATATCTAATGTGTTTCCAACATTGAGATGATAACAGAAAAGGGTTGCATCTACAAACATAATTGTCAGACCACGTAGATCTATAATCGCGACGACTCACGCACGAATGTTCGAGCTGATCAACTATTATTCATTATACAGTCATTCATCAACAATTTTATTTTACCTCTTATGGCTCTTATATAAGTTATTTTATTTTATTCTACTTTTTTTTACTTCTCGTAAGGAACTACGTTTTCCCTGAAAATATCTTCAGACATTATGGAGATTAAAGCGCGAACATTCGTGCCTCAGTGACAAGCTTGGTACGGTTCCAGTGTCTGTTAAAAGTTGTCTTAAACCACAGCTTTTATGTAGATCGATTTAACAATTTATAGACTTAATAGCGTGGCAGAATGCGCAATCAACCAACTCCACATCGTCTATCTCTCCTCATTGAAATGTATGTATGTATGTGTGTATGTGTGTGTGTGTGTGTGTGTGTATAATTTAGCTTTTTTACATACACTACGTATATAAACAATCTCCTCTCGATCTACATATATATCAGATACATACTGGACGACTTTTGCTCATTCTCATCTAATACCGCAGTATTCCCCCGTTCGTCTTATGTATTATATTACTCAGTCATCTCATTTCTTCATCTCGCTCCGCCAAGTACACGCGTTCTCAGTGCTCTAAACAAACGACATTATCACTTTTGCTAGTAATAAAAACTCACGCCTGTAGTTCTTAGACGACCATTAACAAATACATTCAACCGTCATACACACATGTGCATATCGAGCAATCCAGTTTAACATTCTCAAAATTAGAGGAGACTTTTCTCATCTATACACGCGACACGCATATCGACGAGAATTCACGCTAATGAGAGAGAAAGAGTGAGAGAGTATTATTATCATTAGAATTGTATATTAAGTAGTATTTCGCGTTCAAAAGAAGGAAACTGACGAGAAATCACTGTACGATAAAATAAAAAGCACAACAGTACATACATCTCTTATATAGAAGGATTATATATTTTTTTATTCTTTCAATTAATATACTCATAAGAGATAATTAGTGTACTCTCTGAAATAGTTGATCTAAATAATTCTTTTAACGTGGTATATCGCGGTGTCAAATGCGGTCTTTAAGTTTAACTGCGACGCTATTTCGTATGTTAAAGTTATTGACTATAATTGTGAGATGTGAATTGCATCCTTCCTCGTGCTATGACTCTTTCTTTTTCTTTCTTTCTTTCTTTGAAAAATAAATACTCTCGACCAGTAAAGCTATCTTTTTCATTATCGTTCAATCAGGAAACAGTTCAAAAGTCTTTTCATCAAGGATATTTCATTCAAAACTTATGACACATTATACACAGACATATAAGACATTTAAACAGGTTCTCTTTCCTTTTTTTTCAAATCACTCAATTAAAATGGAAAAATCTGATCAAACGATTCAAACAATTTTCTTTCACACACAATCGATCAATAATTTTGACACACCTGCACACTAATGTAAAATTCTCACATAATAAGCTATTTATGTGTTATATTTTAGATATTTGAAACATAAGTTCAAATCGATAATAATATACAATACGGATAGCTACGATCAAGTGTTGCTCTCTAGGCGTGTTGCGAGCTATTCTGACTCATACATACATTCTCTCTCAGACAATCATATCATTCGCAATTTGTACGTTCCTTCTGAAAATCTTAACATTTTGGAAATTTTTTCGCAGATAAAGAATGCTGCAAAATAGAATAAGATGTTGTTTCAATAAAGGTACTACACAAAAAAAATTTTGATCCACTTAATGCCTAAAATAATAAATATTAATTTTCGATTTTAATTCCAATTATTTCTCTACATGGAATTGTATCTTTTTCTTCATAATTCTTACTCGGTTCTTTACATTTTACATTTATTCATTTTATTTGTTATTTAATATTTGGAAACAGATTTCTTCAAAACAACGCAATGATACTTTACTCGTATAACGGTGAATATATTATATAGAATTACAAAATAAAGTTGCTTCCCAAACATTTTGCTAAAGGATGTTATAAGGAAGATAAAAATATCAGAAATGACTACGGAGCTTTAAGCAAAGTATCCTGATTTGAATGAAACTATCTATTCCCACAGCAGCAAAATTCGCAAATCTAGATCTCTCGACTATATCAAGGAAAAATTATGATTCTAAAATAAATAAGAGATCTGTCGTTAAAAAGTAATGCGCAAGAAAATGGAATATTCTAAACAGCTTGAAAACGCGATGGCAAGTTATACATTGTATTACATTACGCTTTTTACAAAAAACCGTCTAGCAATTCGGCGCGGCTCTCGATTCGTTACAACAAATTATATAATTGGCTTTGGTCTCACGGGTCACGGTCTACCATCTATTACCACATTGCACCCATTAGATCGCCTTAGTTACAAACTAATTTAGTTTTCGTAACTAAAGTGATGATCAATCTAGTCTCCTCCTACATTAAATTTTTGATGTAGACAAAGAGACAAAATTTATAATTAAATAAAAAATTGTGGTTATATAGAAAAAGCCAGAATATCTCAACAAACTATTAAGTAAGTATTTACTTAGCCCCCTCTATTAAAGAGATTTGTGACAAAAAAGACTTTAGCTATTTCCGATTTTTCAATAATTTAATAATTGCTCGTTGAGAAAATGTATACTTAAATAGAATGGAAAAACGATGTAGATGCAATTGTATGTAGCTATAATTATTTCCTATGTGATCGTTTCGCTCCTCATCCAAGTTCACTTGATTATTAAAATTTTTACTGTTTCCTTGGACTTTGTCGCGATTTAAAAAATGTACTGAGACACACATTATCTTCGCTGCAGAGCGACTGGGCGATCTTGGAATCTAAGCAAATGACAAATGAGAATGTGCGGAAGGATTTCATGTGTGGCAGTTATTTCTTTTTTAGTAAGACTATTTTGGTACACATTTCACTGGGTTTAATAAGTATGGATCTACAATAGATGTTCTATAAAAGCCTGAAATCGTAAAAGATTGATCAATTACAATCGAATGCGAGGAGAACAATCGATTACGATTTATCTATTTCTTATGGCTTAAGGCTTAAAACACCTATTGTAAATCCAGGCTAAATGAAGTAGCTGAAGTCTTCTTGGGACTCAGATCTCATCAGGTATCTTTGTACATGTAAATTACACGTTTACCAATTATTATGCTAAGCAATAAAATGTATTCGATCGTGCAATCTTATCATTGTACAGCTAAGCTGCTCACACATCAACTTCATACGTATTGATTTTATTCATGCCACTATTCATCGAACGCTCACACCAGAGAATGACGCAAAAATCGCGTACATATATTCGAATGATCGAAGCTATCCGTCTACAATTGTCGTAAACCTAAACGAACGGAATTGTGCTAATTTGTCAAACCAATAAGAGAGGGTAAGATCTCGAAATATTATAATACACGCAGTGGCGATTAGTGCAAAACATTAGAAAAAACGTCAATAACGTACTATAGGCTCTAACTCTTTTTCTTTTTCTGAGGTCGACGAGCTTTTGGAAAGCATCGACCTCATCAATTACCACCGTTCGTTATGGTTGTTGCATCGGGACCCGTGGATAGAGGATCCGTTTGGTTTTACGAGTAGACCCACGGCCCCGGTTGAATTTACTCGTACTTGAGAAAGGTATTCGACTTCTGGTCGCGCTGACCCGGGTGATTCTGCCAGGCGCCCTGGGACGCGTTCGGGTTATTCGGCCCGGGGCCGCCGGTGCCGGGATTGCCAGTATTACCATCGCCGCCGCCTTGGTTCATCCAGCTGAGAAAGCCAGAATTGCCACTGTTACCAATACTGTTGTTACCGGAGGGCGGCTGGCCCGGTGGGCCCGGCTGGTTCGAATAACCCTGGTCGTTTCCCTGGTTCTGCAGATTACCGATCAGACCCCAGGACGCCTGGTTCAGAGCGGCGGCCACCAGTGCCGGATTGACCGGCAACGCAGATAGATTCAGACCACCCATCGCCAGCGGATTCGACATACCGCCTCCACCACCACCACCGTTGTTTTGACCGGTGATACCAAGGGCTTGTAGATTCGGCATGTCGAGATTACCGCGATTTCCCGGATTATTCCAGCCATTCGGGCCCATATTGTTGCCCGAATGGCCCATATAACGGTTACCCTGATAATTGCCCTGGACGTTATTATCGACGGGTCCCGGCGCGCCCCTGCCGCCCCTCATGTTCGAGTTAACTTGATTATTAAAATTTTTATTGTTTCCCTCGGACTTGGGCGCGGCATTCGAGACGTGTACCGAGACACCCTTGATAATATGATCTTCGCCACAGAGCGACTGAGCGACCTCAGGATCTAAGAAAGTTACAAACGAGAATGCGCGGAAAGGTTTCGGGATGAAAACGTCCGTGACTTCGCCAAATTTGGAGAAATATTCTCGTAGATCGTCCGCGGTTAGATCTTCTGTGCAGCGGCCGACGAAAACCTTGCAGGGAACTTGCTGTATCATTCCTTCCTAAAAAAATGTTATATCAAATATGTACGAGGTTTACACGGGCATCCAAGTAAAACTTGCGTACAGTGCACATTACTCACAATACCGGCGGCGGTAGAAATCGCTCTGCAAGGCGTGTAGTGTTCGTCAAGAGAATGGCAATACGTAACATAGGTACATTATGGTTTACATCGAGTGTATCACATGCATATATTACACACAATCAATGTTCCGTAGAGACGCAGTGTGAAACTTCTCGCTTCCGGCTTAGTACTCTAACATTCCGTCGATTGCAATTAATCTGCACTAAACGTCAAGTTTTATATAGAAAATTCTTAAATATTTATATTTGTCGGTTCAAGAAAAGACGCCGGCTGGCTCGATTTATATGTAAATCCACATGTTATATAATGAACACTTAAGCACTATAACCACTTGAAATCCATGCATCAATCTGTACAATGTCTGTTTCTTTATATTCACAATGTAGAGAATCTCATGCTACATTACACTGTCTTGATTTGAATAAGTACGTATCTGATAAAATGTGAACAGTTATATTTCAAACTAATTATTTCTACCATTAGACAACATATCTGT